AGCCTCTTGGAGCAGGAGGCCTTGCAGGGTCCCAAAGACTCATTTCTGGCAGAGTTTGGGGGAGACAAAGAAAGACTTTTGCTGCTTTCCTTGCATGCACCCAAAAGCAGAAGAAAAAAGAAGCGGAAGAAAGTAGCCCGGTGGCCAGGCCAGGCACGTGGGGCGAGTGGGAAAAGTTCCCCCCCCCTTTGCCCTTTCCCCCCCTCCCCTCACTACCTTGTGTAGTTCGCAATGCAAGTGACACAAGCTTTGTGTTCCCGCAGGCCATGTGGGTGGCACAGCTTTGTGTTCCTGCGCAGCCTGGATTAATTGCTTGGGGGAGGGGAAAACATTTTTCTGTGGACCACCAAAATTTTCTCATAAACCACCAGTGGTCCTCGTCCCACTGGTTGGCAACCACTGGGCTAGAAGACCTCCAAGGTCCCTTCTAAGTTTGTTATTCTGAGTCTTCTTCAATCTGGCGCCGATTTCAAAATCAATTTAGCCTGGTTGAGTTCTGCCTGCCTCTTAGCTGGGCTAAATAATAATAATAATAATAATAATAATAATAATAATAATAATAATAATAATAATAATAATAATAATTTAAATAATTTAAATAATTTAAATAAGCAAAAAGTTGACAAGTATAATCCGAAATAAAAGAATAGAGGAAAATCTGCCCAAGCCAAGGGATGATATTAGATGATCTAGTTGAGAAATCTACTTCTGGATTTGAAGGTTCACTCTATACAATTCTAAATCTATTTTCAATTTTATGCGGGATCTAGAAAGTTATAGAAGCCACTATTGTCTAACAATATTGATAAACGATTGTAGCTATTGTAGAAGCAACACAGCTGCCATGGTTCATTATTGTTATTGTCTTAATTAAATTGCATTTTTGAAAAGCTGTAATAATATGAACTACCACTAGATGTCAACCTTTCCCCGACCATAAAATAGTTTCAAATTAATTCTAGAGAATCTTAAAAAAGAGAGCTTAAAAGTTTTCATTTGGTGCTAGTTCAGAGTGTATAAATGTTACCTCAAATAATATTTCAGGCACAAAATGGCCTAATTTTAATTTTCTGTTCAAAGTAAGGTTGATAAACTGAGCCTCTAACCTCAAATCATTTCGGATTTATATACATAAACATCTTCATTAGATAAACTCCGAATAAAATATATACGTGTCAATGTTGGCTAAATTTTAAAAAAATCAAATTGTTCATTTGATTGTATGATTTGTGGGCCTCATCACGATTATAACAATGAAACTTTGAGGCAGAAAAATAGAAAATACAGAGAGTTAAAATAATCCAGGAACTAGATGGGTGTCAAACAAGGATTTAATTTTGTGTACATGGGTATTATCTGAAAGAAAAGAGAAAATACAAACATCCCAGATGTTTTGCTCCATTTCAGAGGGAATACTCAGCGTTCATTACTTGGTTATTCATTTAGCAATATTTAACGGGACAAATGAGGGTTGCCATGGTAACGAATGGAAGGTTATCGCTTCTCATCTGGTTTAATTTGATTAAATTCCCTCAAGCTTTGCCCAATTAAAGGGAAAAGCAAGAATGGCGATATTTGCCCCCATCGGATCCATATGGCCATATGTTTTTCTAAAGAGGCTGAACTACATCTTACACCCAGGAGAGAAATTCCTGGCTTTCCAGCGGTTGATGAACTGCAAATCTCAGCATCGTTCCAATGGTCAGGGCTCCTGGGAATTGTTGCAGGACCCAATCTTGAGTTGGGACCGAAATTGAAACCTGGGACATGGGTCAGTCAAGAGGAGTGCTGATTTACCAGCCCCCCTGGTCTTCTGGTGGTACTTAGGAGCCAAGAGTGTGGCACAAAGAAACAACCAGTCAACGAATTTTATAACCAGCCACCAACACCTCGCTCAATAGTAGTAACTGAGAGAGAGATATCTTGGAGTCCTAGTGGACAATCTATAGATATAAAAGCCAAGTACCACTCACTCATCGCAAAATCTCCAGAACCGTAAAGCCTACAAACTTGAAATTTGGTATGTATTTTCCTCTTGGCTTCTAGGTGCTCGCTAAGAAAGGATTTTTCGAAATGACCATCGGATCATTAGTATTTCTTATACAGTAATTAACACGCTCGGATGCTAAGGAGTTCTACTCCCCCTCCCCACCTGAAAAGAACTCTGTTCCAACTGCCAGTGCCTCACATTCCGTTACTTCAGTTCAAACTGTTAGATGTTCTACTCCCTCACTCAGGCGTGGCCTGGGGCTCCTTACAGTACTAAACGTCGGCACCTCACCAAAATGTCTACGCTTTCCACCTCTGGAACTGCTTCCGGACTCAAGGTGGTGGGAGTGGTATCCTCTTATGTGTTTCAGTCACCGGCCACCACTGAACTAACGAATTGTGAACCAAACTTTTCCTGCGTAGCCCAATCACATAATTTCATCGCGAAGCATGGGTATCCTGCTAGTCACTTAAATATGAGCCAGCCATGTGCTGCAGCTGCCACAAAAGCCAACACAGTCCTAGGCTGCATGAACAGAGGGATAGAATCGAGATCACGTGAAGTATTAATACCACTTTATAAGGCCTTGGTAAGGCCACACTAGGAATCCTGCATCCAGTTTGGGTCACTATGATGTTAAAAAGACGTTGAGACTGTAGAACAGGAGTTCCCAACTGAGGATGCTCACACCCCCTGAGGAGGGTGAGATGATATTCCAAGGGGTGTGAAAATTTGGGTTTAGAAGTTTCAAAATTATAGTGCATATGCATAATTATATGCCTGTAATTATTTACTTTTGTAAAGGGTGCAAGAATACATCAGAAGCATTCTAGGGATGCGGAGTATAGAAACGGTTGGGAAGCTCTGCTTAAAAATGGGCTCACTTAACAACTGTTTCACTTAGCAACAGAATATTGGGGCTCAGTTTTAGTTTTAAGTCGAGGACTACCTGTGTTCAAATGGAGACAGTTTTTGATATGTTTTGAGTTTTTTTTCCTTTTTATGCATATTTATATTCTTTTGGTCCCGACTAGTTTTGCTTTATGTTCAATTCCCCCCCCTCCTTTTTTTTGGGGGGGGATTTGCCTTTTAACATTCTGAATAATTTTTTTAAAAAATATTTTTTCAGTCAGGCATCTCTGCTTCTTCCTATCCCAAGAGGTATTAAGTATACATGTTTTTTCTCTGCTGTTGTTATTTTATTAATCAATTAAACTTTAAACTTTCTAACCGCTGAAAAAGAATAGTAATTGATAGAATTTAATTTCCTTGACTTTCTATTGCTTTGTTTTGGGGTGATCTTTTAAGAACGGGGAGCCAATAAAATTGTGATATGACTCTTGATTCTTTTATTTTCATAATCCTACAATAATATATTGTTTTAATAAACAGGGAACAGTGCCACAGCAACAAAATACTTTACAGAGTCGTCTGCCTTTTCTGGAATACATTAAACTTTTCCACTTTGTTACCAACCCATTAAAT